GCACAGCTGCCATCCTGGGACTTTTTTCATTTCACTCTTGGATCATTTCCACTGTAGCTTGTGTTCTCACATCTACTTTATTAGGTTTTCATCCTTGTTTGCTAGGGATCCTCAAGTAGTGTGTCCTTACATGTGTGAAAATGTCTTTATTCTGCCTTCTCACTTGATCGATCATTTGGATGTAAGAGTCTAGGTCAAAATGATTTCACTCTGGAATTTTTGAGACATTGCTCTGTCTTCTACAACTGAGTTTCTGGTTTTAGTCAGATTCTTAATTCTTGTTGTTGTTTTTTTCTCAAGTCATTTAGGATCTTTTGTTGTGAGATGTCACAGGATTTGTCTCGATGTCTTTTCTTCATGGAACAGAGAGTAGGTTGCATTTTCTCATCTGTTGGCTCCCTGTCTTATTTTGTAGCTGTGCTATAGTACTGATCTCACTTCTTTTATTCTGGGTGATTTTTCACATTGATGTGGATGGTTCATCCAATACCCTTGACAGTACCTTTGACAGACACTGCACCTATGTCATTCCTCTCCTTTCTTAATAGAAGCCCACCTTTGTTCAGGAATTTGTTCAGTACTCATGCGTTTCATGGGTCCCCTGCCCCCCAACAACCAGCATCAAGGGGGCAGTTTGTGAATGTTGTTCAGCCTAAAGTCAGTTGTGTTAGTTCCATTCTCCTTGCCAATGATTGCTTTAGGCATAGTGACACATACAGGAAGTCTGCTGGGACTCTGGTTTCCTTCAGTTTATGAAGTGATCCCCTTCTGTTGGATGTCCTGTGAGTGAGCTTATCGTTCTAGGAGCTGCTGCAGCCATCTTGGGTCACTGAGAAAGTGAGATGATGAATGACCTTCAACTCAAAATTAACTTGTCTAAAATTGAACTCCTGATATCCAGTCCTCCCTCTCCCAAATTTCTCACTCCATCTTTCCAGTTGCAGAGGCCAAAAATCTTGTCATTACCCCTAACTTTATTCTTGCCCTCACGTTCCACATTCTATTCATTAGGAGACCCTATAAGCTCCCCTTCAAATTATCTTTATACTCCTACTATTTTTTTCTATTTACACCACTACCGTCCTGGTCCAAGCCACTACCATTTCTTACCTGGGTGCCTACCCAGGGAATTTTCTCAGGGCTCAACCTGATAGGCCTGTAGATTGTTCTAGGCTACATTTAAGATGAGATTCACTTGGGAGGATGTGAGATAGGAAGCAGCTTACCAGCAGGGAAGCATCAGATGTTCACTTTGGTGGGGGTCCTTGTAGCTATCCACAAAGACAAGAGCCAGAACTATTCTCTGCGCCTCTCCTCTCTTTCCAGGGGAAGCTTAGGTGTGAGTAATGAGGGTCCTGTGGGTAGGTATGTAGCTAACCTGGCTTCGAGGCCCCAAGTTCCACAGAGCCATTACCTGGTATGACAACCCATGAGCATAGCTCCCAGGGTCCCTGCAAGGCCCAGGCCCAGTTATTGGAGTCACCTCACTAAAAGAAGCCCAAGGTTTTGGCACCTCACCAGGTATTGATAGCTCCTCTCCTTCCCGAGCAATTTATCAATGGGTCATTTTTACCATAAGCAGTGTTGCCTAGTAACACAGCTAATGTTCTGCCTGTATGGTTTCCTGCGGAACAGAGCTAAAAGGTTAACTGAATCCAAGAGCAATTTCTTGTGCTGAAAGACGAGGGATTTGCTAACACTTCTGTCACAAATAGCCTACTGAGGGATCCCCTGTACTCTGTTCTCAGCACAGTAGCTAAAGTGATCCTTTCAAATGTATGAAAGGATAGTTTTCTGCAAACCCTGCAGCGACTCCCCAGCTCACTTGAAGCACATTTGTCTGCTGGCCCTACGGGAGTTGGTCCCTTATCACCTCCTAGATTCTTTTTCCCTCCTGCTTTTCCCATGCCCCTCTGCTCTAATAACCCTTGTTCTGGCTCTAGCGTGGCAGGCATGTTTCCCCCTTAAGGCCATTGTGTTGGTTCTTCACCAGGGCTGGAACACCCTGACTCCTGATATTCACCCAGCTGACACTTGCTTCAAATCTGTGCTTCAGTGTCACCTTTTCAATGAGCTGTAGTCCAACTAGTGTTTAAAAATTGCAACCCCTGCGACCTCAGCACTTGCCATTCCATGACTCTTTCCTATTTTAAATTTTTTCCCCATAGCTTCTCTCATGTTTTCATACTCCCATTGTTTACTTATTACATATATTGTTTATTGTCTCCCACTGTTAGCAGGTAAGCTGTAAGAGGGCAGGATTCTTCATCTGTTTTCTCCATTGATACACCCCAACTGCCTAGGACAGTGCCTGACACATAATTGGTGCTTAGTATTTTTAAATAAGTGAGCACTCCTTCACAGAAGGCATACTATGTGCTGAGTGTTGTAACATACATTAATTCATTTAATTTTCGTGAAACCTTCTTGAAGTAGGTAATTATATTGTCCCTTTTTTTGTACTTTTATGCATATAGAAACAGAGAGGTTAAGAAACTTAACAAATATAAGTTTCTAAGTGAACCCTAGCAGGCTGGCTGTGGAGCCTGGGCTTTTTTTTTTTTTTTTTTTTTAAAGATTTTTATTGGGGAATTGGGGGGATGGGAACAGTGCTGGGGAATTGGGGGAAGGGGAACAGACAAGTTGCTGTAGTTTTGTTCTTTCAATCTAGTTGTGGAGGATGTTGCTTCACTGGCCCAAGTTGGCACCATCATTGCGCTCTTTCCGGGCGAGGCAGATTAGTCACCAGCTTCTGGACGGCCGCTCACTGCAGCTGCTGGCCGCTCACTGCGGCTGCTGGCCGCTCACGCTGGCTGCTGGCCACACATGGTAGCCCATGGCAACCCACTGCCACAGGGGCTGCAGCCTACGCTGTTGCTGGCGCCTCACGGCAGCCCAGCTCCAGGTTGAGCTGTTGTTCAGCATCTTAGCTGTGGAGGGCAGTGTCACTGGCCCTCATATGTGGGATCCGAACCGGGGTCCTCTGGCATCCCAAGCCAGTTCTTAACCATCGCGCCACTCGGCCGGCCCCGAGCCTGGGCTTTTAACCAATCTACTGCTGTTAAGCATCTTTCTCCGTACATAATTTTTTACCTGCTTTTAGATTATTTATTTATTTTTGGTAAATACCCCTTGATTGGGTTAGAGGTTATGGACATTTTAATGTCTTGACACATGTAGCCCAATTATTTCTTGTAGGACCTTTGGTCCTGTCTAAAACATCCATGGATTTGTGGATGTCCATGCTCAAAGGTCCTTAAAATTTAGTCCTGTCCAAAACGTCCATGAGCATATTTGAACCATTCTAAATGGTCCTTGATATTTGGTCCTGTCAAAAACGTCCACACTTAGAAAACATCCCTGGGTTCAGATAGCCCGTAACACTTATTTATACTTTGGGTTTACAGGATTAATACGTAAAAAATACTGTCATGTTTCATTGATCCAATAATTGTGTGTTGTGGCTGTATTGCCTATAATAATGTTTCCTGCCTTGGTAGCCTACCTAGTAATGGTACATGGGGTTATGTAGGTGGGTCTGCACAGGCCCAATGTGTCCACGGATGTTTGGACCAAATGTCCCCTAACCCAGTTACTTCCAGGATCCCATCAACCATATTTTAATGTATCTGTTTTTTAAAAAAATGATTATTGGCATCACTTAATTGACTTCTATTTGTCCTCTTTCATCTAATAATGAACTTTGATGATGTTCCCTAGTACTTCCTAAATACTTGGATGACAATAAATTATTTTCTTTTTATGTCCCTGGAAAGGGGCCACAGACACATGATGGAGGTCAAGGAAGATTTCCTGGTAAATGGTAGTAGGCTCAGTGTTTAGGTGGATGAGTGTCTAGATTTAACATACCTAAGAACTTCTCATTCTTAATCTTATCTGGGTCATGGCCCCCTTGGAGGATTTGATAGAAATTATGGACCTCTCACTAGAAAAATGCCTATAAACACATTTTAATTTTTTTTATTGTATTGTAAATTGATTTACATCACAGACCATATAAAACCAGTCTTTGCAAAGATTTCTATAAGTCTCATTTTTGTTTTTATGTAAAATTATTTTCTACATCTGGGAACAAAATCCAAAATATTTGATGAAACAAACTTTATTTTCAAAAGTTAATTTTATTGGGAAGACTGGTTTATGATAAGTTGAAATTGTGGCATTGTCTTTGGTAATATCAATACATACATCATTTTAAAATTTCCAAACAATTTTGCCTTTTTGTTTTAATGACAACCAAAGCTGAAAACCTGATTCGTAAGATAGGTGGAAACAATTGGAGAGGCAGGTCAGATGAGGCAAGTTTTTTTTAATTAAACATTTTAAAAAAAATCTTTTTTGTTTTTAATAGATTTTTTTTTATAAAGCTTTTTAAGAGCTGTTTTCAATTCACAGCAAAATTGAAAGTACAGAGATTTCCCACATACCCCCTGCTCCCACTTAGGTATAGCCTCCCCCATTATCACCATCCCCCACCAGAGTTGAACATTTGTTACAGTGGATAAACCCACATTGTCACATTATAATCACCCAGAGTTTACACTAGGGTTCACTTTTGGTGGTGGACATTCTGTGGGTATAATGATGTGTACATTATTATGGTATCATACAGAGTATTTTCACTTTCCTAAAATCCTCTGTGCTCTACTTGTTTAGTACCCTGATCCCCTGGCACCCACTGATCTTTTTACTGTCTCCATAGCTCCATAGTTGGAATCATACAGTATGTAGCTTTTTCAGATTTCTCTCACTTAGCATTATGTACTTAAGATTCCTTTATATGTTTTCCTGTCCTGATAGCTCATTTCTTTTTTAGTGCTGAATAATATTCCACTGTCTGGATGTATCACAGTATTCCCATTCATCTACGGAAGAACACCTTGGTTGCTCCCACGTTTGGTCATGATGAATAAAACCGTCTAAAACATCTTTGTGAAGGTTTTTGTGTGGACATGTTTTCACCTCCTCCGGGTAAATACCGAGGAGTGCAGTAGCTGAGCCATATGGTAAGAGTATGATTTGTAAGAATCTGCCAAACTGTCTTCCCGATTGGTGGCACTGTACTGCATTCCCACCAGCGTGACTGAGAGTTCCTGTTGCTTCATACCTCCTCAGCATTTGATGTTTTCAGTGTTCTGGAATTTGGCCATTCTAATAGATGTATAGTGGCATCTTGTTTTAATTTGCATTTTCCTGATGACATATGATGTGGAACATCTTTTCACGTGCTTATTTGCCATCTGTGTATCTTTTTTTGGTTACATATCTGTTAAGGTCTTGAGCCCATTGTTTAATTGAGTTGCTGTTTTCTTATCGTTCAGTTTTAAGATTTCTTTGTATATTTTGGATAACAATCCTTTACCTCCCAGCCTGTGGATTATCATCTTGTTCTCTTCACATTGTCTTTCACAGAGCAGACGTTTTTCATTTTAATGAAGTCCAGCTTATCAGTTATTTCTTTAATGGATATTATATCTAAAAAGACATCACCATAGCCTAGATCATCTAGGTTTTCTGTGTTGTCTTCTAGGAGATATGTCGTTTTGCATTTCACATTCAGGCCTGTGATTAATTTTGAGTTAACTTTTGTGATGGGTGCAAGGCTTAGGTGTATGTTTTGTTTTGTTTTGTTTTGTTTTGTATGTGAATGTCCAGTTGTTCTAGCCCCATTTGCTAAAAAGACCGTCTTTGTTCCATTTTTTTTGGCCATTGTTCTTTTGTCAAATCAGTTGGCTCTATTTATGTGGGTTTATTTCTGGGCTCTCTATTCTGTTCCATTGATCTGTTTGTCTCTTCTTTCTCCAATACCAGACTGTCTTGATTAATGTAGATTTATAAGTCTTGAAGTTGGGTAGTATTAATCTTCCAACTTTGCTCTCCTCTTTTAATGTTGTATTGGCTATTCTGTGTTTTTTTGTTTTGTTTTTTTTTTTTTTGCCTCTGCATAAACTTTAGAGTCAGTTTGTTGATATCCACAAAATTACTCACCGGGGTTGTGAATGGGATTGCATTGAATCTATAGATTAAATTGGGAAGAACTAACATTTTAACAATATTGTGTCTTTCTGTGCATAAACATGAACTCTCTCATTTGTTTTAGTTCTTCCTTGATTTTGTTCACCAGAGTTTTGTAATTTTCCTCATATAGATCTTGTAAATAAATACATTGTTAATTTTCTATCTAAGTAGTTCATTTTGAGGAGGGTGCTAATGTAAATGGTATTGTGTTTTTAATTTCAGATGCTGTTTGTTCATGGCTGGTGTGTAGGAAAGAGATTGACTTTTGTATTAACTTTGTATCCTTCAACTTTGCTATAATTGCTTATTAGTTTCTGGGATGGAGGAGAGACAGAAGGAGGGAAGGAGAGAGGGAAAGTCTATTTTTTTGGATTTTCTAGTTAGACAATTTGTCATTTGCAAACAAACACGGTTTTCTTTCTTCCTTTTCAACCTGTATACCTTTTATTTCCTTTTCTTGTATTACTGTATTAGCTAGGACTTGTAGTACGATGTTGAAAAGAATTGGTGCTGATGGAAAACAGTATGGAGGTGCCTCAAAAAATTAAGAACAGAATTACCATATGACTCAGCAATCCCTTTTCTGGATATCTACCCCCAAAATTTGAAAACATTTATCCGTCAAGATATATGTACCCCTGTGTTCATTGCAGCATTATTCACAGTGGCCAAGACATGGAAACAACTGAAGTGATAGATGATAGGATAAAGATGTAGTACATATATACAACGGAATATTACTCGGCCATAAGAAAAGGTGAAATGCTGCCATTTGCAACAACATGGATGGATCTTTAGAATATCGTGCTAAGTAGCTCATGAGGAAGAGGAAGAAAACCAGGACAGTTTTGCATTTTGCAGTCCAAGTGAAGAAGGTTTTTCAAAAAGGAGGGAGAGAAATGCTATAGAGTCAACTGAGATGAGGACTGATATTGATGTTTGGATTTTGTGTGGTGTGGATAGAGGTCATTAGTGACAGTGACAAATGGTGTTGTGGCGTGGTGGAAGTATAAAGCCTTGGAGTTGAATAGAAGAGAGAATGGGATGAAGAAGGGAGGTTAGTGAAATACTGAATAGAGACAACTGTGTAGAGGACTTTCATTTTAAAGGGGAGCAGAGAAATGTGGCAATTACTGACATGGATTTTGTGGTCAAGGGAGGTCAAAGTTCTGGTCACCAAGTCTGGTATGTGTGGGTTCCCCCCACTCTTCACCAAGCAATTCTCGGACACCATTGGGGTGTCCTACAATTCAATTCAATTCTAACGTTACCTGGAGATAGCATTAGATCCCACAGATTAAGGGGCTCAGTCCTACAAGACTGTCCATCCCCCCCCCCCCCCCCCAGCTCCCATCAGAGGACAGTCATAAACTCAGGTTGTTACCTGTGCTTCTGATCTACTGGCTGTAGATTAGAGGTTCCAACAACCCCCCTTCTTGGGTTAAATTAATTTGTTAGAGTGGCTCACCGTGAGCCGAACTGGAAGAAACAGTTTACTTATCTAGATTGACAGTCTACTATGAAAGGATATAACTCAGAATATAAGCCAGATGTTAGAGCTGCACAGGGCAAGGTCTGGACAAAGGGTGCTGAGCTATGCCCTCAGAGCACACCACTCTCCTTTCATCTACACGTGTTCAAACCCAGCAGCTCTTTCGAACCTCGTCCTTTTAGGTTTTTATAGAGGCTTCGTTACATAGGCATGATTGATTATATCTTTGGCCATTGGCAATTGATTCAACTTCCAGCCCCCGCCCGCATTAGGGGAGAGGGGACTGAAAGTTTCAACCCTTTAAGTTACAAGGTTGGTTCTCCTGGTAACCAGCCCCCATCCCTAGGTTCGATCCAAAAGTTACCTCCTTAACACAAGAGACACTCTACTATGGCTCTAATCACTTAGGAAATTCTAAGAATTTTAGGAGTTCTGTACCAGAAATGGGACAAAGACCAAATATGTATTTCTTATTATAAATCACTATATCACAAGAGAGCTCTTTTTTTGTTTGTTTTCTTTAAGGTGGGTGATCATTACAATATGTCTGTATGCTGACAGGCACGATCCCTTAGGAATGGAGAAAAAAGATTTGAGATTTTTGTCACCATGAAACTGATACTCTCAGTTATCAAAAGTAGCTTGGAGATGGTTGGTTGGGTTGGAAGTTTTCTATACCCCACCCGCTTCATGGAGCCTTTGTAATTTTTTTCTCCTTTTGGCTTGCTTAGTCTTATTGTGTATCTTCATAGATTTTTATCTTTCATATTTCTGGTAAATGTTGATTATTAGGAAGCTGAACCAATTGTGTGTAAAAAAAAAAAAAGTAAAAGACATTTAACAAGGAATGTTTCTCAGGGCCCATTGTTTACTACAAAAAGGAAACCACTAACTTCTTGTTACATCAGCGAAGATAAAATTATTTTGTGAACACAGTACTCCTTTAGTGAATAACATTTTTCATACTGTGATCAAAAGAAATTATTTTGTGAAAATAATAAATGAATGGGAAATGTAGACTTTTGTTACAAGTGGGGATTTATTTAATGAGAGCCCTTAAGAATCTCATTTCTCTTTTCATAACATTTTAAATTCTCCTAGTTGTGGAGATATTTGCTATAATTTAAATTATGAAAAATATAGTGTAAGCCAAGTTAGAAGTTAGGTATTTAGTTCTTAATTTCTTGATATATAACAAAAGTTTTAACTAATTTTAAGGGAGAGAATGTAGCAGCACGGGATGGTGGGACTATTTACTTTCATTATGAAGCAGAAGAAGGAAATCCATATCACTGTGGCTATAGCTAGTATTATAGTGGGAATGCATTTAAGGTATAAGTGGACTGCATATCACAACCTTGTATCTCCCTTTGCATTTTAAATTCATGCTTAGTAGGAAAGTCCTCAGGTGAAGTTTGATTAAAAACAGAATTCAGAGAAGATGAGGATATGATAGTATAATAGGTTTGAACTCACTGGTGACCAGTCTTCTTGGATTCTTGGACTTTTCAGTTGGAATTTCTGCCCTCCATTGCCTCCCATCTCCCATCCCTGCTCTAAAACTTTTTTTCCTAATCTCTTTGGCTAATAAAGTAAAAAATTTTTGAGGACCTAAGAGACGTACCTATGGATAATATTCTCAGGAAAGCGAGAGATTGTTTAGATTCTAAGCTATGTTGTATTGTAGATACAACTTTGTTGTATAAATGTGACCCACTAGTGTAGTGATTCTCAACCTTTTTTGGTCTACTTGTGCATAAGAAAGTAAGTAACTGTATGCATGCATGTATGTATGTATGTCAGATAGTGATAAGTTCTGTGATGAAAACAAAATGGAAATAGGAAAGTGACATGGGAGGCCTACCTAATACTGAGTGGTCTTCTGAACCTCCTTTTTCTCATTTACCCACTGGGAGTAGGAATAATCTACCTCCTTAGAGTTGTATGGGCTTAATTGTGTGTGAAATGCACCTGGTCGAATAGCTGGTATCATACTGGATTATCAAGTACATGTTATTCTCCTTTTCTTTCTGTAATTTGAATTATCCAAACCTGCAGAGTGGTGTCGTATAATATAGAGTGTGTTTAAACCTTGGTGTGGTTTTGAAGTTAATGTTGAAAAAGGTAAATGATAACATGGATGAGCCTCGAGGGGCATCATGTGTAGGGAAATAAACCAGTCGCAAAATGACAAATACCACTTAGACACCTAGAGTAGTCCAACTCATAGAAACAGAAAGTAAGATGCATGGGCTGTGGGGGTAGGACAGAAATGGAGAGTTATCGTTTAATGAATGCAGAGAAGAATTCTGGAGATGGTTGGTGGTGATGTTTGTACAACAGTGTGAATGTACTTAATGCCACTGAACTGTACACTTAAAAAGGGTTAAGAAGGTAAATTATATGTTACGTGTATTTTATCACAATTTTTAAAAAAAGTAAATGATAAAAGTACTCAATTTTGGGAAGGCCTGTCCTTCCCATTTTTGGTAGATAGTAGTGAATCAAGTTCTTTTTTTTTTCTCTTTCCATTTTATTGAGCTATAATTGGCACACAGCACTATATAAGTTTAAGGTATACAGCATAATGACTTG